CACCCCCTCCAATCCACCATCTTTCCCTCTATCTCCACTACCCACACCTGAAGCATCTGACCTAAATATACCAACCTCGTCCCCTTTACCTTCTCTCTCTATTCCTGCACCGGAAACTACCTCAGCGGTTAAAAGCTCTATCGCACCTCAGCCTCCCCCACCATTTCAGTCTATCCACCCTATGATTACAAGAGGGAAAGCTGGAATATTCAAGCCCAAGGTGCTCCTATCCTCCACTCCCACTGATTGGTCGGTAACAGAACCCACAACTGTTAAGGTTGCTCTTGCTACTCCTATCTGGAAATCAACGATGGATTTGGCTCTTATGCAAAATCAGACTTGGACCCTCGTCCCTCCTACTGGTTCAGTCAATGTAGTTGGGTGTAAATGGGTTTTCCGCATCAAACGCAATTTTGATGGCTCGATTCAACGCCACAAGGCACGGTTGGTGGCCAAAGGCTTTCATCAAAGTCCCGGTATTGACTTTTTTGAAACCTTCAGTCCTGTGGTCAAAGCCTCCACTATCCGAGTTGTTCTGTCATTAGCTGTATCTCGAGGYTGGAAACTACGACAACTTGACTTCAACAATGCCTTTCTCAACGGCAAGTTAGATGAAGATGTCTATATGTCTCAACCTCCAGGATATGTCGATCCCAGATATCCGAATTATATCTGCAAACTACATAAAGCACTTTATGGCCTCAAACAAGCTCCTCGAGCTTGGAATGTCACTCTTAAATCTGCCTTGCTTTCTTGGGGCTTCACCAAYAGTAGATCAGRCACATCCTTGTTCATATATCACCGCGGTCCATCCATCATCCTCCTTCTGGTCTATGTCGATGATGTCATTGTCACTGGAAATAATGTTGCTCTCATAGACAGTCTTGTTGCCACACTAGATAAAACGTTTGCGTTGAAAGATCTTGGCTTGCTCAGTTATTTTCTTGGCCTCCAGGTCACTCATCTCCCTTCCGGAGTTCTTTTAACTCAGGCAAAATACATAGATGACGTGTTGCGTCGCCTGGATATGGAGGACTTAAAGCCAGCCCCCTCCCCCACTGTATTGGGCAAACACTTGTCAATTTCTGATGGAGAGCCCATGAGTGATCCCTTTCTATACAGAAGCACTCTTGGTGCCCTTCACTTCAATTTTATGAAAATATCGATAAAATCAAACAAACATTTCACACTTTTTAAAATAAGTTTATTAAAATTATGTCTATATTAGTGATATTATGTTGATATTTTTTTATATTTTATCAAATTTTTTTGTGATAATGTGAAAATGTCGATTCACCCGAACAATATCCATACCCACAAACAAAAATTTACTTAACAGGCAGGCGGTAAGTTTTACCCTATTATAGTTTGGTCGCAAAATTTTAATGATTTTCTGTTTTTCAAAAATATTACAGGGCTGGTGTAAGGGTAAAAGGGTATTTTGCATGGTCATTATTGGACAACTTTGAATGGGGAAGTGGATTTACAGTGCGCTTTGGTCTCACATACATTGATTACAAGAACCAGTTGAAGAGAATTCCAAAAAGCTCACTAAAATGGTTCCAAGATTTCCTCAAGAAATGATGATGTTCCACCAACCAGTTCATGTTATATATTTTGCTGTACTATTAATATGTGTTATGTATTATTGTAACCTTGTTGCTCTACTATTATGTTACATGTTTCCTCTCGATGTTTTCTCTTAGTTGTTCAATAAAATAAATTTGATCTTGCTTTTTCTTTTTTTCATTCATGACGAAGATATGTACATTAATAATTGTTAGATAGAATTTAAAGATTACATACGGCCTCCAGCTATAGCAATCAAATTTAGAAATCAATTAAAAAGATCACACCGTTGATAGTCTATCCAGTGCTTTAATCCGTGTCGAAAACATAGACTTCATTCTTCTTTCGTCGAGAGGAATAAGATGGAAATAAAATAATTTTAAAACATAATCATGTAACCACCCATAATTTGAGGAAGAAATTTTTGGGGAGTCGTCCACTAAAGAATAGGAGTCCAATTAAAATTTGGAAAAATATATTTTTTAATAATAAAATAATAATAATAATATATGATGAAATTGAACGGTTAAACTATGCTCCCTTTATTTTCTCTCTATTCTTGAATGTTATATATAAAACAAATTTTGTGATTCTATTATTCTATTTTATTATTTCAATAAAATAAACTTGATGTTGATCTTTTTTAATTTTGTCTTTTTTTTTCCTATTATCAACAATGAGGTGTTCAAATACAAACGGGCATTAACGATGCTCCTAGTGCTGCCAAGAAATATTGAATGGTGATATAGGCAAGAGTTTTGGGATGTGGGAATTCAAATTCTTCTCAAATTTGCGGTCGCTTTTTTTTTTTTATCTTTTCCGGCGACTTTTATTATCTGCGACTCATTAATTTTTTTGACGTATTAATTAGGTTTTATAATATATACATTGTATTGTTTTATGATTATATAATATATGGTATATGTAGTACCTCTTTTCCCACGAATAATATCTTTTTCTAGCAAACATTATATAATAATTTTTTTTACACAGTTCCCATAGGTAGAAAATCTACTTTTCTTGTTAATGTGCTGCAGGTGCTGTGCTACCTTTTTGGGTGTCCCGACATTGTTCTCTTGGGTATTTGGGCTTCAAAAAGTGCTGTAATGTCTGCATTGATTGCTTAAGCTATGATTATCCTCTCAATTTGATTCATTTCTGTCTCGTTTCTTCATTATTATTCATTCCTGCAAAATATAGATTAGCTTATGTGCATAAATCTGTCATAAAAAAACGAAAACTAACAAATAATTCCAATATAAATCTCATGAAACGTAGCTCACAAAGTGTGCTATCATATCATATTTTATATATATATATATATATATATATATATATATATATATATATATTAAATGTTTTTAAAACATATAAGGTAGAAGTTGAAAATCAATTTGAGAAGAAAGTGAAAATGCTTAGATCCAACAGATGTGGTGAATTTGAATTATCGTCACTCTCTGAGTTTTGTGAGGTTAATAGTATAATCCATCAAACTATGTCATCTTATACACCACAACAAAATGGTGTAGTTGAAAGAAAAAACCAAACTTTGAAGGACATGATAAGGTACATGTTAAATGGTTCAAGTTTATCTCATAATTTGTGGGTGGAAGTTTTGCTTACAACAATTTTATGTTAAATACAATTCCACATAAAAGACTCATAAGTCGTTTTAAAGTGTGGAAAAGAAAGTTACGCTCGTATAAAATATTGAAAGTGTAGAGTGCTTGACAAATGTACAAGTTACTTAACTAAAAAGAACAATGCTTGGACCAAAAACAGTTGATTGTGTCTTTATAGGTTATGCAATGCACGATGCTGCTTGTAGATTTCTGGTGGTTAAATAAAAAAATACCTGATGTAAATGATAACATTCTTATCAAATCTATTGAAGCTAAATTCTTTGATGATATATTTCATTTTAAAGAAAGATACGTGGTGCCAAAAGGAATCATGAGGCAAGCTCTTTGAAAGGGATCAAGAAAATTATATTGAACTTATAGAAGAAGCAAAAAGCTAAGAAAGCTACTTCAGTTGGATTTGATATCATAACTTATATGATAGAAGAAGAGCCTTAAAATTTTTAAGAAGTTGTGTCATCTCCGGATGCACCTTTATTGGAGAGAAGCTATCAATAATGAGATAAAATAATTCATTTTGCAGAACAATATTAGGGCATTGGTTGATATGCCTCCTGGAAGTAAACTAATGGGAAGTAAATGAATTTTAAAAAATCTAAAGGCTGATGGCACTATTGATACATATAAAGCTTGTTTAGTAGCTAAATGCTATCGTTAGAAATATTTTCTTCGATAACTATTCTCTAATGCAAGAATTACATCTATAAGAATGTTAATCGCTATAGCAGTTTTACGAAATTGGAAAATACACCAAATGAATGTAAAAACTGCATTTTTAAATGGATATCTAGATGAAGAAATATATGAAACAACTTGAAAGGTCTCTTGTAAAATGACCTGAATATAAAGTTTGTAAACTTGTTAAATCTCTTTAAAGGTTGAAACAAGAATCTTAAGAATGGCATGAGAAGTTTGATCACACTATCCCTCTGTTTGGACTAGGATTTGCAATGATTTGCACATCAGAAATGATTTTGAAATCATTTCCTGTGTTTGTTTCGAAAGTAAAAAAATGAATTTTAAATTACAATAGATTTGAATTCACGTTTTAAGTCCCAAAATTTTCCATTCTAAATAGTTCGGATTTGAAATTAAAAAGTATCTAATTCAAAATTTATGCTACATTCACATAATGTTCAAACATGGCTTCATAAGTAAATAGCCATTCAAGTAAACTATTTTTTTAATTCATTTTTGTATTTTTATTTTAAAGTTCCCTTCTTGTGTTTTTCTTCGAGAGGGGTTTTCTTCTATCAAAAGATTTTTTTTTTAAGTTAAGCAAATAAGAGGTTGCATTAGAAGAAAAAAAAATAAACACAAAAGATTTCAAATAATTTGTTTACAAGTTATTATTATTATTATTGAAAAGATTTAAATTAGTATCTTGATTTGATTAAATGATTTCTTTTTTAGATGTGGTTGACATTACTATTTCATTGTTAAAATATTATATTATTATTAATATAATATCATGTTAAATTATAAGGGCATAATAGTAAAATGTTATACTTTCTTTTTATTTTTTGTGAACATCCAAACGAGAAATTTTACTTTTGATGATTTGAACTCCATTTGGTTCCAAATACAATTAGGAATTTGAAATCATTTCCATTATTTAAAATCCTGGAATTTGAAATCATTTCTCACCAATTCCAGACGTTGAACGGAGCATATGTGTTATCGAATGGATTTAAGATAAACGAGTGTGATATATTTATCTATGTTGAAACCATAGATTAAGATTGCGTCATTTGCTTATATATAGATGATATATTGATTATGGAAGATCTTGTTATTGCTGATTTTATCCTTAGAATTAAAAAAATGAAAAATATGGGTGGATATATACTTTCTCAATCTGATTACATAAAAAAATTGTTTAGAAAGTTTGGTCATTTTAAGGGTAAGCCTGTAGTTATTCGATTTGATCTAAATTGTTAGTTGAAGAAGAATAATGACTATGGTGTATCTTTATTGTGCCTCTACTTAATAACTAGAGGGTAGAGTGCAAGTACACACTATCACCAAGTAATAATATGAGAGTATTCTAAGTTCGTCTCCATAAGGACTAGTTTTCTTTTTAAATAAAATTACAAACCGCTTGAATGAGCAATCGAATTTAGAATAAAATAGTTGAAATTGTTCGGAACACAGTTTAAAAACACAAGGAAAACATAATTTAAAAAAGCAAACCCCTCTACTACTATTTGGGAAGACAGTTTAAAAACACAAGGAAAACATAATTTAAAAACGCAAACCCCTCTACTACTATTTAGTTTTAAAAAGATGAATTACACTTACCAAATGCGACAAGTGCATTTTTGCTCGTTTTATGCAAACTAGTTCGACTCCAATTTCATACCGCTCTTGGTTTGTTTAGAAGCTTAGGCTAGTATTTACATACGTCTACAAAACACTAGAATCCTAAATAATGCAAACTCAAACTTTTGTTTAATGGGTAAGAGAGCCTATGTCTAGGATCATGTTTTAGTTCTTATTTCTTTCTAAGTAACTTCCCGTTTTACCTTGATGAAATTTGTTTGACTCTAACATTTTTCATAATTAAATTTAAATTAATAAGATTTAAACGAGTGGCCAACAAGCATATCAATTGGACAAGTTATATCAATGAAGATAAGCAATATGAGTGAAATCGTCGTACTTAATAATATTAGTTTTAAATTAGGTTTTTAATTTAAATGATTGATTTTAATAATAGTTTTTTTTTCCTCTTTGATTTTTTCCAATCAAAGCCACGTATGTGGCCTCTTCTCCCTTTCATTCCCTTCTTTTTCTCTAACTCTCTTTTACCCTCTCCATATTACCGTTGCCATCTGCATGTATTTAAGAAAGTCTAGGGGAAACACAAGAGTACACGCAGGGATATAGAGGGAGCAGCAGGGATATAGAGAGTAAGCATAGAGGAGAACAAAAGAGTTTCTTTTTTTTTTCTCAGTCATCTCTATGCTTCTCCCTTTCTTTTTCACTTATTCTCTCTCTAGAAATCACCATTTTCTCCTACGTTGGTAAGCAAGGTGAGTAAATTGTGTTTGTGTTTTTATAAGCACTGCTTTCATTGTGATTTCAATTGCTTTTGGAACTTTTTTCCCCTATTATTTAAGGTTGTTTTTCATTGTTGATTTTTGAAGGTTTATGATCTGTGTTATGTTATAAATGGCAGTTTTTGGAGCTAATTTAGAGGTTGTATTTTGTTAAAAATTCCATATTTTGAGTATAGATTTTTTTGATAGTTTTTATTTAAAATTGGTAGATTTTTTTTGTTCTTTTTTAAATTGGTAGATTTTGAATTTAATTTACCGTTTATTTTTTTATTTTATAATTAAAATAAAAAGACTGTGTTTAATAGCAGTTAAAGTTT